GTGCCCCTGCTGCAGTCACTGTGGCTGGCGCACAACGAGATTCGCGCAGTGGCCGCCGGCGCCCTGGCCCCACTGGGCCATCTCAAGAGCCTGGACCTCAGCCACAACCTCATCTCTGACTTTGCCTGGCGCGACCTGCACAACCTCAGTGCCCTCCAGTTGCTCAAGATGGACAGCAACGAGCTGACCTTCATCCCCCGGGACGCCTTCCGCAGCCTCCGCGCCCTGCGCTCGCTGCAGCTCAACCACAACCGCCTGCAGACGCTGGCTGAGGGCACTTTTGCGCCACTCACCGCGCTGTCCCACCTGCAGATCAACGATAACCCCTTCGACTGCACCTGCAGCATCGTGTGGTTCAAGACGTGGGCCCTGACCACGGCCGTGTCCATCCCGGAGCAGGACAACATCACCTGCGCGTCGCCCCACGTGCTCAAGGGCACACCGCTGAGCCGCCTGCTGCCGCTGCCCTGCTCGGCGCCCTCTGTGCAGCTCACCTACCAGCCCAGCCAGGACGGCGCCGAGCTGCGGCCTGGCTTCGTGCTGGCCCTCCACTGCGACGTGGATGGGCAACCGGCGCCCCAGCTTCACTGGCACATCCAGACGCCGGGCGGCACCGTGGAGATCGCCAGCCCCAACGTGGCTGCTGACGGGCAGGCCCTGCCCGGCGCCCTGGCGGCCGGCAGCCGGCCGCGCTTCTGGGCCTTTGCCAACGGCAGCCTGCTCATCCCCGACTTCGGCAAGCTGGAGGAGGGCACCTACAGCTGCCTGGCCACCAACGAGCTGGGCAGTGCAGAGAGCTCGGTGAACGTGGCACTGGCCACACCTGGGGAGGGCGGCGAGGATGCACTGGGGCGCAGGTTCCACGGCAAAGCGGCCGAGGGGAAGGGCTGCTACACGGTGGACAACGAGGTGCAGCCCTCGGGTCCGGAGGACAACGTTGTCATCATCTACCTCAGCCGCACTGGGGGCTCCGAGGCTGCAGCAGCAGGAGAAGGGGGCCCTGGGCAGCAACCCCCTGGCCTGCTCCTGCTAGGCCAGAGCCTCCTCCTCACCTTCCTCACTTCCTTCTAGCCTGCTCCCACACCCCCACCCTGGGCCGCAACGCCAAGGCCTCCCTGACTGCCCCCCCCCCCGCTGACATCACAGATGTCCCTTAAAAGTGTCACAGGGCGCTGAGGGTGGCAACTCCCAAGCCTGCATGGGGGACTTCGCGTCTTCCTACCTCCCTTCTCATCTCTTCTGGAATACTCACCACTCCCAACTTCTAAACTTGCTCAAAGCTAGTGACTACAACAGGACCTGATTCCATACTCACCGTCTACGGTGCTGATTGCTGCTAACCACCCTGCCCATGCTCCCCTATCAGGGCGATGCCCTAACCAACTGGGCAAAGCCTCACCGATGGCATTCCAGGCACTGGGACCGACAAGCTGGCAAAGGCTGGGGGCACGGGGCTGGGGCTGGGGGCTTGGCAGGGAGGGACCCTGAAGCAGACAGGGCACAGGGGGGAGGAATAGGGTCTAGGGGCAGTGGTTGGCATGGCTCTGGGCTCTTGGTGACCTGCTTGAGCTCCTGCTGCCTCTTGGCATTCTCTGATGATCTGGGGGCTCGGGAATCAGCGCCCTCATCTCAGACAGGACTGGAGGATCCAGGATGGCCTGCATCTTTTCCCGCCCTGGGCCCCTCCACCCTGGACAGCTGTCCTACCTTTTCTCCAAGTATGCATCTGTAGCCTGCCCCTCCAAAGAGGCTAGCCATCCCAGGGGCGGCCGAGAAATAAACAGCATTTCTGATGCTCGCTTTGTGTTTCTCCCTGGCGTTTTGTCTGAATCTAGGACCCCTCCTTACCAGCCCGGTTGGGATAGGACAGGGCGCTGGAGAGTCAGGACGCCCAGGCTGCCTGTGCACACGTGGCGGGGCCCGCGAGGCACACAGACTGTGCAGCAGGCAGCACGAGAGGGGCGGGCCGGTGGGCCGGGGACTGGGCCTCGAGCTGAGCCGAACGGCAGATGTTCTCTCTCTTCAAACTAGCCCACAGGACAAATGGGGGTGCGGCCCTGATAACCATTACAGAGGCTTCCCTGGGGTCCTGGTGGCCCTGAGCAGGGCTTCCTGCCAGCAGTGGCCTGGGGAGGCCTCGTGGAGGGGGACGGGGAATGGGAGTCCCCGCCTTGTGGCCGCTCTTCCCGGTCCAGCTCCTGGAAGAGATGGGAGGAGATGAGGCACAGACAAGACAAGATGGAGAGGAAAGAGCAAGGAGGAGCTGGGGACACAGGGCAGTGGAGAGAGAAGGCGGAGAGAGAAGGACTCAGAGAATAAGAGAGCAGCTTCGAGGGGGAGGAGACGAACAGTGCTTTCCAGGAAGAGGAAACGGTGTTCCTGGAGGAAAGTCTGGCCTTGCCTTGGAGACTTTCCCACACAGCAGGTGGATCACTGACTGACGTGGGGCGGGAGTGAGGTCCTGGCAGCATCTTGCGGGTCTCTTAGAGTGGGGAGCACATACATGGAGTCGGAACCTGGAGACTGATCCCCGTATCTGTGCCCAGTCCGAGATGTGTCTCCGTCCCCACCCCTTTCCGGACTGAAGGGTGCTGCCCACAGGGACAAGACACCACCCCCTCCCCCCCGGGAGAGGCTCTGTGGCCTCCCAAGCTCTGCGCTCGAGACTGTTGAGCCCAGCAAAGTGGAGGCAGGGAGGCCAAGGAGCCTGGGGTTGCAGCTGTGAGCCTTGGAGGCTGGCCAGCTCCCCATCCCCCTCCTCCTGGTCCCCAGACAGAACCTCCCCCAACCCCCTCAGCAGCTCGTGGCTTCGGCTGAGCTGATGTCACCAGCAGCACATGTCAAGGGTGACTGCGCATCTGGTGGAAAGAGCAGGATGGACCCAAGTCCCCTGTGCCGCCTTGGGCAAATCACTGCCCACCTCCGGGCTTTGGTTTCCTCAGAAAACAAAGGACGGGTAGGATGCTTAAGTGTCCGATTGACTCTGATTATCTAAGGCTTGATATCTTAACCCAGCTCGGACCCCTGACTTCTCTGGCTCCATTCACAGCACAGCAGGCTTGTCTTCTGGAAGTGGGACCTGGGCCCAAGACCTGAGTGAGGGGCAGCTGGGGAACACTGTGCTCTGAATGAACTAGCCACTTCCCTGCTTTAAACTCCTCCGTGGCTCCCCCAGCCCTCAGGGTGAAGCCCGAGTTCCCCAGCCAGCCATGCATCACCCCTGTGCCTGATTCTCTCATGAGAATCACTGTTCCGTGCCTCTGCTGGGCCTGCTGATTAATTGTCCCCTTAACCGTCTGTGATGTGTTACCCTCTGCACCTTTACATATGTCGTTCCTTTGGTCTGGATGCACTTCCCCTCTTTCTCCCTTGGCTAAGTCGGTTCAAGCACCACCTCCTCCAGAAAGCCTTCCTGGATGCCGTTCCCACTACTTCCCAGTGTGGATGAGGTCCACTCCTCTGGCTCACACAGCCCTGGGCATCCGGTGTCCCAGCCTGATCACACTCTACTCTGTCTGTTTCCCTGTTAAGGGCAGAGAGCCAGTTTGCCTTCTCATCCCTGTGACCCTGTCAGTCACCAACACGGGGCCAGGAAGACATTTTTCAGCGGACTGCAGTGGGATCAGGGCCTGCCCTCTTTGCTCTCCTCATGGGCAGCCTTAAAGGTGGGTGTGAGCTCCCTGGCCCTACCCCTTGCTTCCTGTGTATCTGAGGCTGTGGTGGGGGCGCAGGTATGGGGGCAAGGAGAGAGGTTGATCTCCACGATTTGTGTAGACGTTTCTCAAGGCCCCACTGACCCAGATCTGTGGAGTGGCCATGTTTTCCCCACCCTCTGTAGCCCCCAGGCCCACAGTGGAGCCCACACCCTGAGTCACACATCCCCCGCCTCCACCAGTCCCCAGCAAGGGAAGGGACCCCCCCTCGCAACGCATGGGGTCCATTCCTTTTAGGACAGCTCCGCCCTGTGCCTCCCCACCGCCTCCACACCTTTATTCATAATGCTCCCCGTCTTCCTGAAATCCCCCCTCCCCAAGTCCTGCCCATTCTTGAGGACCCAGAAAAAGTTCTACCTCCAAAGGCAATGTCCACATAGCTCAGGGGTGGCGCCATAGGGTCCCCAGGCCCTCTACCACCCCAAAGGGATATGGCTATGGGTCCTCCTCTGTCCCACACCGCATGGCCAGCCCCACATGGGAGCAGAATACCCCACCCCACCCCAAGCCCCATAAATGCAGTGCTGATTTACTGGCAGTTTTCCCCCAAGTACCCCGCCCCGGAGGAGGACTGTTTCTCAGGGACAAGTTTATTACAGAGAGCACACTAACCTCTTTCATAATATCTAAAGGCATACCAACTGCAAAAATATCGGGCTCTCAAGTGTGGCCAGCTCAGTGTGGGGCCTGGTTGGAGCCATGACTTTGCTGCCCCGTAGGAGCCCATGGCTTCCTCCTGGGCTGCCTCACAGGAAGGCACGAGGCCCCAGAGAGGAGAGGGGGAAGCTGGAGGAGAGAGGAAGCTCTGTGTCTGGTTCCGTGGTGGTGCATCCAAGGCTGAGGTGGGGCTGAGCTGGAATGTGAGGCTGTTCTGGCCTGACTCACCGACCCCAGTCAGGAGAAGGTTGCGTGAGCTCAGGCTGGTGGCAGAGCCAGCCTGGGGAGGGGCCTGGAGGTGGCCACCCCAGTTCCATTGCCTCCCAGACCATGGCCGAAACCACTGATTACTTCCTCCAGAGCCCTCGCGCGCGTGGGCTTCCCAAGACCAAGGGGGCAGACCAGAGCGCTTCGGAGGCTGCAGCTGCGGGACAGACCTCCACCCAACCACAGCGCCCCCTGGCTTCTGGTGCTGGCAGCTGATGCCGATCCCGGGAACTCGCGGGCCCAGAGGCTCCCGTGGCTGGGAGGATGCTGGGGAAGCTGGGAGGGAGGGGGCTGGAGGGAGGGGGCTGGAGGGGGGGGGGGAAGCACCCCAGCACAGACAAGGACACGGTGGCTTCCCCACCCTCAGGGCTGGGCTCCGTTGACCTGGGCACCCGACAGGGTCCTCTTCCGGAAGGCCTGCAGAGCCGGATTGTGCAGCAGCGTGTAGGCCAGCCCCCAGCGGGCCCTGCCTTGGCGGGCCCTGGGCCCTGATCCCCTGGCCACGGGGTCCTTGGTCTGCAGCAGCTGCATCCCTGAGAAGGGGAGACTTTCTGTGAGTGACTCAGCAAACACCCAGCCACGCCCCAAGCAGTCTGAAAATCCCACGTGTAGTGCTGGGGAGGCTGGGGGGTCTGGTGTTCCAGGGGCCTGCTCACTGAGCAGGAGGTGGGGAGAAACGTGGGCTGCAGAGGGGTGTTTGTAAGGGCTCAGGATGTCATCTTGCTGGTGGCAGACAGAAAAGGGAGGGGACAGCTCTATGGAAGGGACTGGAGGAAGGGCTGGGACAGCCAGCCCAGTGCCCCCCTCCCCACTACACACTTTCCAGGCAGGGAGGAAGCGGGGAGACATCTATTCTGTGTGTGAGAAGGGGGTGTGTGTGCACGCTTGTGGAATGGGGAGAGGGAGACAGGGTGTGTTTGTATCATGGGAAAAAATCACCCTGACAGGGACCAGGAAACTTCTCACTTCCTTTCTCCCACAGGCCTCAGAGGGAGAGAGGAAGTAAGCATTTTCCTGCCACTCTTACGTTGTACGTTGGACATGCATCCCATGTGGTGGGGAGGAGGCGTGCCTCGTCCCTTAGAGAAGGGGGTGGTCTCAATTCCCGCCATCCCCCGGGGGCAAGGTGCACCTTCTTCTTCCTCCCCCTGTCTGAGGCCATCCTGGGGGGCCCGGGGAGGCCGGGGCTGCTGGGTCTGCAGGAGCAGGGCGCAGAAGGCAGTCGTGGCCGGATGTGACTGGCTGGCCTCCATCTTCAGGAAGCTGCAGTATGTGTGGTAGCCTGGGAGGGGTGGAGGACGACGGTGCTGGGGGGAGCAGGGCCCCCCTCCCACGCACCCTGCCCCCGAGCAGATGGCGCATGCACCGCACGTGGGCCCACTGCCCACACCCGCCCCACGGGGTCACAGACAGGCTCTGGGACAGTGCCACGTGGCCCAGGTCAGGACAGACCCTCCCTCGATGCTTGAACGGCCTGAGCCACCGTTGCTCCTGGCCCCTGCCCAGTGACCTTACCGGGGTCGAGAGTGGCTGCTCGAGGCGGCAGCAGGCTGAGATCCATCTGGCCAAGGTGGACGGCATTGTAGACGGCGGAGAGGAGCACGCGCCCAGCGGCCACCATGGTGCCCACCAGCACGTTGATGAGGAAGAGGAAGAAGGTGGCTGCGTAGAGCACTCGCCTGTGGGTGGGGAGAGAAAAGGCCGAGGCTGCCCCCACTCCCACACACACACAGAGCCTTCCTCAGGGTCAGGGTCAGACGTGGATGAGCACAGCTGCTGTGTGTTTATTGACGACCTACCATTTATCGAGTACACCTTCAAAGCACCCTGCCCTGTGCTGGGCCTGCTCTCTCAAGCCAGCTTGCGCCCCACCAACCTGGGAGCGGGTGTGGTACTCTCTCTTCTACAGAAGGGAAACCGAGCCCCAGAGAGATCGGGTGGCTTAGCTAAGGCTGTCTAGCTAGTCAGTGGCAGACCTGGGGCTTATGGCCCGGATCTTTGTCTCCCACCTCCCTCCTCTAGGTCCTTTGTCCACCGACTCTGAGTCCCTCCTGGCGCTGAGTGGCCTGGCTCCCACAGCCTTTCCACCTATCATGGAAATCATGTTTCGATTAACCTCCTTCCTGTAAAGGGAGAGGCACAGGGTTTTGGAAGACACAGAGGATCCAGGGGAGAGCAGTGCTGACCCCCAAAGCAGGAAAGGCCCGTGGCTCATATTTCTGATACGGTAACAGGTGAACAGAGAAGTATTCCCGAGTAGGCTGGGCCACTGTTCCCTTTCCGTCTGGGTAAGGCAAGCTCTCCTACTCCCCACTGGGCTTCCCGAGAGAGAGGAAAGGGAGAGGTGGCAGTGGAGGGAGAAAGACACAACAAGAAAGACACCGAAGGAGAGGCTGAGGTCCTGGGGGGAACCACAGCCCAGGGGGGAGCCTCCTCACCGGTTGGTAAGCTCCGGGTGTCCATGGTGAGTCTCCAGGAAGACCCAGTGGGCTGCCATTTTCTGTAGGACCACAGCCAGGGCCAAGGTCAGCCAGAAGGGCCTGCAGGTGGGGTGGGGAGGATGTCACTATTAGTAGCCCTCTGGGAAGTGGTCCCAGAGCCCTCAACTCTTTGCCTCTCTCACCATGAGGACTCCAAGGATCGGAGGAGCAGAAGGTTCCTGCCATGGAGGACAGGCATGAACACCAGGAAGGCAAGGATCATGGTCCCCAGGAAGAAGATGATCTGCTGCACCAGGAGCCCTGCAGGATGGGGAGGTGCAGGGGGACGGACATTAGGCTCTGCGGGACCCAGCCCACCCTGGCACTCCCAGGAACCCAAGGGCTTAGGAATGGCGCAAGCCTGGATGCAGATCCCTGCTCTCCCACTGCCTAGCTGTGCCAGCTGGAGCAAGTTCCTCTACCTCTCTGAACTCCGGTTCGACCTCTGTCGAATGGGGTCGTGGCCCCTACCTCAGAAGGCTTGTTGGGACGATCCAGTGTAATGTCTGTGGCAACTCTTTGAAAACCACAAAGTGCTCTGCAAACGTTATTTTCCCCCAATTGCCCCTGAGTCCTTGGGGACAAGATTGCATTTTAGATTAATGTTTGCATTCCTACTGGCCAGAGACTGACACAGAGTTGACCCCAGAAAGCCGTCTATTGAAACAACTGGCTAGTTGTTTACACGGCGTAATGCATGTAAAAGAGCTTGGGAGGTATAAAATCTACCAAGATGAGGAATTACAACTTTTTGTACTAGTCATTCCTCTTCTCCTTTATCATTCTTCTCCTCTTCCCCCAGGGAGGTGAGAACTGAAGGAACCGTCAGGGAGGGGAATCTGGCCCTCACTTTTTGCAACACTGACCCCAGGCCCCTCACATTTCAGAGGGCTTTATTCACTGTACGGCCCCTGGGAAGAATCAGAAACTTGGAGGTAGGAGGGGTCCTGGAAATTGATCTAACCTAACTCTCTCAGGGCAGGATCCCCTTTGCAGCCCCAACAGTGACCACAGAACCTTGCTTGCATATCCCCGGTGATGGGGATCTCATTGCCACCGAGGCAGCCCACTGCGGCATAACACTCTCTTATACAGGCAGGAATATGCCTCCTTGAAGTTCCCACCTTGCAGCCCTGGGTCCACCCTCTGTGTAAACGGCTGGTGGCCCTGAGGGGCTATCCTCACGTGAGGGGCATCCTTTCCCCAGGGGCTTCTGCATCTGCGCCCCCCTTCCCGAACCTGAGCGAGCCTCCTAAAGGCAGAGAAGGCAAGGTGGGCCCCTCTTACTCTCGCCCCAGAGTTTGCCCCAGCACAGGCAGACACCCAGGGACAGCCAACACCTGCTGGGTGTTCTCCCCTCCCAAACTGGGGCCAGTTTCTGGGGCCAGCTGCAGCCAGGTGGGGTGGCAAGGGGGGCTCACCAAGGCAGGTAAAAGCCGTCTGGTAGGCGCTGAAGCTCATCCAACAGAATATGGCCTCGCGGGAGGGGTGGGGACTCTGGGGCTGGGGGCCCAGGTCGAAGGCGGCCCCTCGGTGCAGAGCTTGCAGATTGGCCCTGGTTGGGGGATGGGGGGGAGGGGAGAGGAAGGCAGGGATCTCAGAGACCACACACACTCCCTAGATTCCTCCTCTGGTGGGACTCCCTGTCTACTTACAACCTGTGGCCACGGACAGGAAAGCCAAGGGCTGTGGGAGCCCTGCAGAGGTTACTAACCCAGCCTAGGAGGTCAGGTAGGGCTTCCTGGAGGAGGTGGTATCTGAGTAGAGTCTTAAGGGATGATAAGAGTAAGTTTCAGAGCAAGGTAAGGGGCAAGGCCGGGATCAAGGGAGACAAGTTCAGGCGAAGGCTCAAACCTGAGCCAAGTCAGAAAAGTGAGGAAACAACAGTAGGGATGGAAAGTGACTCGGAGATCAGCTACCAGGGCAGGAGGCAAGGTTCCAGGCAGGCAGAGGCCTGAGGGCCTGAGTGCCAGCCAAAGGAGGGCCAACCCTGGGGGAAGAGATCCCTGCGCAAAAACCCTGGGGCCTGGCAAATGCACTCTCTGACATTGCTCCCCTTCCCATGCACCCTGCTCACAACTAGAACCTTCTTTCCCTCTCCACTCACAACTCAACTCCATATCACTCCCCGTGAAAGGGCAAGCGAGACAGTTTGGCATTCAGTGGCCCATCACAGCCTCTTCGGTGCCCCAGCGCCAGCCAGGTCACCACCACACCCACCCTGGCGTGTGGCAGCCTCACCCCTGCTGCTGCTTCTTACACAGTCCCTCCGGCCCCGGAGTGCCCTCTCCCTCCCTCAGCTCTTGCCTCTTCTTCGGATCCCAGCGGAGGGCTGGCTTTCCAGGCTGCCTTCCCCATTGAATCAGTCTGCCCAGCGGTCCCTTCTCAGAGGGCCAAGTCCACCCCACAGCCCTGCTCAGCTGAGCCCTGTATCACTCCCACCAGACAGGAAGGCCCCACCTTCCCCACCCACCACGGGGCAGCTGGGCGGGGGACACAGGGACAACCTGGGCCTGCAGTGGCTCTCCCTTCGTCCAGCCCCAGGCCCTGCCCCACAGGCCTCCTGGCTCAGGGCTCCCACACCGCTTCCCCACATCTGCACCGGGGGTCAGACCCTGCCACTGACCTGTGGGTCACCAGTGAGCGGATCAGCATAAGGGAGCTGAGCGAGCAGGACAGGACCAAGGCCGAGATGTAGCAAACTGGAGGGGTAGAGAGGGAGCGAAGCAGGAGGTGGGAGCCCCTGAACTGCCCCCAGGGGGGGTGCCTGGGTGGGAGTTAGTCCTGCCCCATACCCACCCCCCGCCCTGAGCGGAGGCCCCTTGCCACCCCCCCCCCCGCCCACCTCGTTCTCCGATGCAGTACAACCCAACAATCTCAGCCCTCCCCTCCTGCCCAGTGACGTGGTGTCCAGGACAGGGAGAGGCCAGCTCCGAGGCTGCAGACCTGGTCTCCACCCTTGTCTCGCTACTTCCATTGCTGTGTGATCCCCAGAGAGAGATGCCATCCGACCTGGCAACTGCCTCCATCTCCTTGGGTTCCTGGCCGTGTGGCCTTCAGGGGACCCCTTGGTCTCCCAGCCTTGGCTTGCTCATGCCTGGCTGCCCAGCTCCCCGCATGACATGGGCCATAAACCCCATGTCATGTGTGGGCCCACAGAGGGTGTGAGTCCACGTCAGTGTGGCCTGTGTCCTTCAGAAGGAGGGAGGTGACCACTGCTACCCATCTCCTCCGGCGGTGGCCCCTCCTGCCCAGCTCCCTGCCCCCCTGCCATGCCCACACATAATGAGTTTGCTGCATCCTCAGCAACAGGGGAGAATGCACAGGGCGTTGTGAGCAGCCGAGGTATTGAGGCCTCGCAGGGATCTGAGGCTGCAGCTCTCCCGCCCTCCATCCACACCCCGCCTCGGTCTGCACCCCCACAACAGCCCCACCGAAGAGGCCCTGGGCCAACCCGGAAGGGAGGCTCAGCGAGAGAGCCTGACCCACCAGTCACACTGCTGGCAAGTGATGGGCTGAGAGACTGCGCCTGTTTCCAAGCAGACCCAGAATCAGCCCCTGGTGCCTGCCCCTGATCTCATCAGTCATCCAGGGGAAGTGTTGCTGGTGCCCGTGTCCCATCCAGAGCCTCGGGAGTGGGTGCAAACCCACGGGCAGAGGCACGCACTAGTCCCACGTAGCCTCGGTGCTGGAGAGCGGGGTCTCGGCACTGGCAGCACAGCAGGGCCCCCTGGGGCTGTGAAAACCCCTCATGGTCCAGGCAGCACCCCAGGCCAATTCAGTCAGAATTTCTGGGTGTGGGACCCAGTCCCTAGCTTTTGTAGTTCTGCGTGCAGCCTGGGTTGAGAACCACCGCACTGGGGGCTTTCCAAAGACAGAGGCTTCAGGACTCATTTCAATCAGCAATTGACTGAAATCAACCAACCCACAGGCAGGTGTCGAGTGCTTGCTGCAGCGGCTCTCAAAGTTAGGCTTGCATGGGAATCACAAGGTGGGCTTGTTTGGATCCTAAAGGTGGGGACCCACCCTCAGCGCTTCTGGAGTCCAGCAAGAAGCTTGAGCCTCGGGATTTTAAAGAAGTTACCAGGCGATTCTCAGGCGCAGCCAGGGTCGAGAACAATGCTACAGAAGAGAGCACTGGGCATGTGCAGCTCTGCTCAGCCCCACTTGCCCTTCGGGAGCGAGCTCAGCAGCAGCAGGAGGGCGTCCTGGACATTTCCTGCCAGGTGAGGGGACTGCCTGCTGAGCCTGCACAGGTGAGTGAACGGGTTAACACAGGGTGAAGGGTGAGCAAGCCCCCCTGGTGCCAGGCCTGGCTTTTGATCTTCATCCATCTACCTCCTGCTCTTCTCTCCCTTGATTGGTTCCAAACTTGGATCTCTCCAAACCCCGGTACGCATAAAATCTTCCTGCTCTTTGCTTCCTCTGGGACCCTGCTTGGTAGGTAGATCTGACTTCCCCCACGGGATGGAGGGCCTCAGGGACAAGGCTGCCTTTGTAGCTTTGACACCTTTTGCAGTAGGGAAGTTGAAGCCCAGAGAAGTGAAGTGGCATGCCCAAGGTCACACCGCTTATAAGTGATGGAACAGGAGTTCTAATCTAGTCTGCCTGACTGAGAGGCTGAGCCCTCTGTGAGCGGTGCCAGGCTTATGGCCCAGGTGCCCAGTGGGCAGCCTAAAACAGCTCTCAGTGTTCAGAAGACATTAGCTCCTTAAGCTCAGGAGACATCAAAGGGCCCCTGGGCCCAGATATAATCTCAGTTCAGACCCTGGCTTGCTGAGTGGCTTTGGGCATAGCTCTAATCCCCCTGGGCCTCAGTTTTCCTCATCTGTGGACTAGGAAAGTAAACACTGCTTGCTCTGTTTGGTGCCTGAATCCAAGAAGATCCAAAGTGGAGGCCTTGAGGCTTGGAAACTGCAGCATGTGATGTTAAATGTTGGTGTGGGGGGTAGAAGCAAAGCCCACCATCCTGAACAGGTCACTTCCCGCTCTGAGCCTCATTTCCTGTGACGTGAGTGAGGACTGATGACAAACAGGGCTGCTGTAAGCAGGAGGCTGACCCTGGGCGGAGGTGGGCCATGTGGGCTCCTGCCTGCGGTCCGGCTTGCGGCCAACTTAGAGAAATCTCCTGGGGACTCCAAGTCAGCAGATGCTGCAGGCCCCAGGATTCCTGACCACCAGACCTTGTCTCAAGATGGTGGAGAGAGCCCCAGCAAGGTGTCAGGAGACCGTGTTCCTCTCTTCACTCCACTCTGCCCAGCTGTACAACCCCAAGTGAATCCTTCCCCGCATGTCAGGTGTGGATATTTCTCAACCTCCTCCACAGGGGCCACTGGGAGGACCTGGGAGGTGGTGTAGGTGGATGACCAGACTAAGGGCTAAAGGAGGCATCAGACCCCAGAAGTGGAGGCTGGTATGGTTTCCTGGCCCGGGGGGCTCATTGTCAAGGGAAGGAAGGAGAATGGAGATGGCCCAGGAGGACAGGGACTGGGGACAGGAAGCGTCTCCCTGCCCAACCCCATGCCCCCTGCCATGGTGATTAGCTCAGAATCCAGCCCAGTGTCCCACACCACTGCCTCCTTCCCTCCTTCCTTCCCCTCAGCAAGGCTCAAGGGGCTGTCCCCTCAGCTCACACAACCCGAGGCCTTGCCCATTCCCCTGCCCTGAGAGCTGAGCAGACACTGGAGCTGGGGGTGGGAGACACCACATGAGCTGAGGGGCCGCTCAGATGACTCCTTCAGGTCTCAGAGACCTGGAATTGGAAGCTGTGACCACCCCAGTTTGGAGGGGAGGCAGTCGAGACCCAGAGAGAGAGGAAGGGACATGCCCAAGAGCACCCCGCATGTCCCTGGCAGGCTGGAACTGAGCTGGGGTATCCGGCTCATGTCCCCACTGGGCGCCCTCCGGGGCTCCCAGGAGGCCTCACCTTCCAGAGCCCACAGGTGATGCTTCACCAGCCCCACCACCTCCTGCCTGTCCTCTGAGAGCACGATCCCGAAGCCGGCCAGAAGGTAGGAGATGTCCGTGGTGATGCCCGCCCTCACCTTCTGGATGGTGGGTACCACGGCCACCAGCAGCAGCAGAGCCACCTGGAAGAGCCCCCACAAGGAAGGTGCCAGGACCTGGCTGTGCTCACACCAGGCCCCCATCCCAGAGGAAGTGTTTCCTCAGCTCCCAGGGAGACTTCAGGGCAGAAACTCCGGCAGCGCGCAGGCTGCGTCCCCATGCCCAGCACCCATCAGAGTTCGCGGCCCCGAAGCAGCGTCCTCCCCAGCACATTGCAAAGAGATAGGACTTCAGCCTAACAGGCCCCAGCTGTGCTTCCAAACGGCACAACTGTCCATCTACACCTTTGTCTACCTATCAGTCATCTATCTAAGCTGTGGAATAGAAGATTTCCAATTTCCCACGTTGGCAAAAGCCAAGTATCCTATAGATTATCTCAGGCACTGAAGCTAGATGGACCTGGGTTCACATCTTGACTACCTTGAGGTATTAGCTAGAGGAACTTGGCCGAGTCAAATTCACCTGTCGGAGCCTCAATTTCCCCCATCTGTAAAATGGAGACAAATTATACCCACCTCCCAGGATTTGGGCTTTTCGGTTTTCTGGGGGTGGCAATGGAGGGGAGTATTTCTCAAACGCATATTATTTCCGAACTAGCCAAATCTGTCTAAACCTTCCCAAACTGCTCAAAGAGGAAAGTAATTCTATTTCCTCTGTTTTACAGCTGAGCTAATGGGTTCAGGGATGTTGAATAACTTGCCCAGGGTCACACAGGAGGTAAATAATGGAGCAAGGATTTAGACCCGTGTTTGTATGACTCCAAAGCTCATGTTCTGACTCTACATGAGCCCCGTGAGAGTTGACCGCCCCCCTCTCTTCTGGGCAGGCCAGAAGCAGCTGGACGGGACTGTTGTTGAGGCTTTTGGAGAGTGGGGCTGGGCCTACGCTGTCCCACGCTTGGCAGTGGGGGCGGGAGTCCAGAGGCAAATGGCATGACAGGGGCAGGACCTACCTGGTAGATGGCTGTCCCTGTCAAGGTGGCTGAAAGCACCAGCTTCAGAGGGAGCCGGAATCCTGCAGTCCCCAAAAGGAGGGATGTGGTAAGCCCCAGCCCCACCCAGGCCTGGGAGCCCCATTCCCTCCGAAAGGGCCCAGGTAAAGGGCTGGGGCTTGCAGGACCCTGGACCACCAAAGCCGGGCCAGGGGCTTCCCCTTGTCCCCAGCTGGGGCTGTTCCTCCTGAGGGGTTCTGGGGGTTCTGGGGGACGGGAGCTGGCCTTCCACGGCAGCTGTTCTGCACGAGGCGTGGGTGAGGTCACCTGCCACTCTTAACCACAGCTCCATACCTCGCTGTGGAGTGTAGATGTAGTTTCGGTAACAGATCCAGGCCCAGGATAGGAAGCCATGCTTGGAGGTGTGGGAGCTGCAGAAAGACAGAGGCAGGCAGGTGCCCTCAGGAGAAGCCCCCGCCCTGGGCCCGAGCCCCAGAGTTTGATTTCTTTGTCACTCTGCCCCACCAGCTGCCTAGGACCTCACCTGCTTTCCAGCTTCTTCCGGCAAAGGAGGGTCCTCAGATATTCCTCACAGTAGCTGCTCTGCAGCCCCTGTGGAGACAGACAGATGGACGAGCAGATGAGACCTGCCTGGAGCCATCCCTGGGGCCCTGGTCAGGGTGTCACAGTGAGCACATGGTGCTCCATAAAAACCTCTTGGCTGTGGCAGGGTGTAGAGAAGAGCCAGCCTGTGGGGATGAGGTCCATGCCCCCCAAAGCTGCCCTTTCTCCTCCACAACTAGGAGACTAACCAGTCTCCTAAGAACACTCAGCACTGAGCGGTTCATCCTAAGGGCTGTGTCCAGTTCTCTCCTGCTTCACTTAGTCACATCTGCTCACTGCTTCCCCCGCCCCCCGCCCCAGCCCCCTGGCCTCGGCTAGCTGAGACTGGGGCAGAAGGAAGCCTAGGTCCCATGGGCACATCCCTGAGCAGGACACAGGATGGGGCCGTTCCAGGTCACATCCCCCAGGCCTCTCTTGCTACACTCCAGGGAGATCACAAGGGTGGCCGGGTTTGTCTAAGCCACATTCCAGGCCGTAAGCTGCCTGCTAAGTGCCAGAGGCCCGTGGTAAGGTGGGGTGAGCCCTTGCCCCTGATCATTAGGAGAATACAAGCCTGTCACCTGTTGCCATGGCAACACGCGCACACCACCCAGGGTAGGTGTGGGTCAGCTCAAAGCTTGACTGGGGCCTCTGAGGCTTAAACCTCTCTGCCCCAGGGCCAAAGAGGATTCTATTTCTTCCAGGACTTCTCGGGAGGAGAGGCATGCCTGGAGGGAGAGGTGAGGCAGCGAAGATCCCTGGAGGAGGAGGGAGAGGGCCCAGGGGGTAGAGATGTGACCAGTGCACTGGAGACCCTGGGGTAGCCGCTCCCCTCTTCTGAGCCAACTGTAAAAATGAGGGGACATCAGGCTTCCCCAGAGGAGTGTGAATGTCAGGAGGCCAGTAGTGACTGCACTTGTGGTCCTACTGCTACCAAACCCAGAGTCGGGTGGGCGCATGGAGGACCCAGGGCGACCACTGGAGGACCTGAGCCCCCAGGCCTCTCTCCCCTCAATCTCCTTCCCTCGTCAGGGGACCTCTCTGGCTTCCATCCCAGCCCCCCTCCTGAGCCCCAGGCGCCCGGTCCAGCCACCCACCACATCCCCACGACTGCGCGTGCGCCCCCCGCGCACCTGCCCACCTCCAGTGTTCGTCTCTCAGCACCTGGCACCAGCAGCTCGCTGCTCTGTCCTCTAGGCCACACTGCGAGCCCTGCCTTCACCCTCCCTGACTGAAGAGTAACCGAGCCCCTTGGCACCTGGGTCCTCAGCCTCTCCTGAGGCTGTCCCCCTCCCTTTGAGGGCCTCTGTAGGGTGGTTTTCTTCTTCCTCCTCTCCCACCAAGAAGAGTACTTGCCCCTGTCTCCGCCCTCACCCATGGCCGTGGGCTGGACCCCAGCTGCACTTCTCACGTTGCACCGGGACTATCTGTTGCTGCCCACATCTCCCCCAGTGCCCTGGGAGCCCCTGGGGGTCGGCAGCTCTGAGTCCACTGTCCCTTGCTCAGGGCCTGACACTTGGTAGGCACTTAGAAGGCTTCTTAATAAGATTGCCTTGTCTGGTAAGAATTCTCTCTTGCTATGATTTACCCACCCATCTATCTAAAACTTCAGAAATAGCTGCTGATTATCTAACATGTGCTAAGACCCGCCCAGTGCTACAAATTACACGCGAACAAAACAGACACAACCCGTGTCTGCCCCTTTACTCCTCTTTCCTACACCTGCAACACCTTCTCCTTATTCTCTCCCTGCTCCAGATCCTCCCTGTCCTTCAGGGTCCCTATTGAAGTCAACCTCCTCCAGGAAGGCCCCCCCAGCCTGCCTCAGTTCGCCCAGCCCACCCCTTTATCCGACTTTATCAAACCATACGCAGCCTAGAACTGATTCATAATGCGACTCTGCCCTGGGAGCTTCCTGGAGCTCATGGGCATCTGCAGAGCTCCTCGGAGGCACCAAGCTCCCGGCCTGTCTCATTTCTCCAGCTGGAGCCTCGGTGTTTCAGAAGAAGACCTCAGACTGCCCTGACCTCTGGTCCACCCCCCCGTTGATTCCCCGCTGTGCATGCAGCTGGGTGCCCCAGGTATCCCGGGTGCCAGCCGAGGGCCTGGCCTAACCTTCGCTCCAGGAGGGAGGACTAGCCTGTCACTTGGTGACTCGGCAAATATTTTTGAGCACCTACTATGTGCTGTGCCCGTGCACAGGGAGCCAACAGCCGTGCAGGAGTTCAGGGCATCCTGGGGGCTGAATAGGAGCCCAGGCCAGCCCTGCCCCTTTACCTCAGAGCCCGCTCCTGCCGTGTTCCTGAAGCTTCTCACCAGCTGCACCGGGTACCAAAGGCTCAGGAATCCGAGGCCCAGAAGCAGAGGCAGGGAAGCCAGCAGGGAGTAGTACTTGTAGATCTAGACAGACAGACAGACACCCAGATACACCTACCTTCTGCCTTCCTCCCCTGACAGAAGACCAGGACCCAGTTCCCTTCCCACTTCACTCCCACCTGGCTGACGGTGCTCTGAGGCTTCCGGTCCTCTCATGCTCCCCCCTACCGGGGTCACTCAGCACAAACACTCCCACTCCCCTTCTGAGGCCCTGCGGACCTGCTTCCCCCTCTCCCGGGCTCTTGGACTCCCACAGCCCTTAGAAGAAATCCCCTCCTCCCTGCTCCAGGGGGCTACCGTGGGGTCTGAAACCGGGGCTACCCCCTTGCTATGTTCCTTTGTCCCTGGGCTCTGGGCACAGGCCCCTGAAAATTAGACAAAGGCCTAATATTGACTGTGTACAGTTGTGACCTGGGCATCAGGGAAGTGCAAGCCCTACCTCCTGGCACTGAGGCCTTCCCAGGGTTGGGCTCCTTCTGCTTTCACTCATTTATTTGTTAATTCAATACATTTTCACTGAGAGCTTAGTATGTGCCAGGTTCTGGATGGTGAAAAAGACCCACCCAGTCTCTGCTCTCAAAGAAACCAACTAATCCTCATCTCTACCCTGGAGGATTGGTGGTATCCACTCCATTTACAGGGAGGGAAACTGAGTCTCAGAATGGTGACACGGTTTCCTCAAAGCACTTAGCATCACCTGGCATCTTTCTGTATATTTATTTATTTATTGTATCTTCCCTTCTGGAAAGGCAGCTCTTGGGATGCTAGGGACTTCATCTGTCCTGTTCACAGCTATATTCCCACCGTGCTGGGAAATGTCCCTGTACAGAGTATGTGCTTCAAATACATTTGTGGGAGGAAGGGAGGGTGGGAGGGAAGGAGGGAGGGAGGAAGAAGCTGGGTTCAAACTCAGGTTGTCTGGCTGAGGCCTATGCCTCCACCCTTTGGGCACTCCCAGCCAGCAGTCAGTGAACCAGGTTCTGAGGTTCTAGAATTCTCTTTTCAGCCCTCCCAGTCCATCCCCCCAATTCAGGGCTCGCCTTCCTCCATCTCTTCACTCCCACTCCGGCCTGGCCAAAGGAAGGCTGCGGAATCAATCATGGAGGGATTCCAGGCTTCCTCTTCCTCCACCTCGGCCCCTTCCTCCTCCCCGCCCCCTCCCAGACTGGAAGCTCCTGAGGGCAGGCCCAGCTCCCTTGTCCCCTGCTCTTGCCACAGAGTGCCCAAGGTTGGAAGGGCCTGCGTTCACAGGAGGGGAATTCGGTGCAGAGTAGAAGGCAGCACAGAAGTCCAGCACATAAATAAGAGGAAAGGAGCCTGACCGGTTTATGCAGTTCCTTCATGCCCCTCTGCCTCAGGCCATTGTGAGTCAGTGGTTACCTTGGGTGCCTGAGGACACTCTGCGTTCTGCCAGACCTGGACCCCAAGGTGAGCCCAGGACAGCATGCTGCCGAGCAGCTGTGCGGTTCCTTGCCTGACTGTGGCACAGGCGGCCAGAGGGTAGTAGAGGGCAGGGTAATAGAGCAGGGCGATGATCTTCCAAGACCCTGGAGGGCAAGATGGGCAGAGGGAGCCACGTGATGGAGAGGCAGATGTGGGGCCCCCCGCAGGCCCCTCTCCTGCCTCCCGCTTCTGAGCCCCTCGGCTGGTTCAGGGAGCAAGAGCCCCACATTCACATTCAGGTTCTGACTTAGTACCAGCGTTTGTGATCTCGGGCAAGTTACCTCTTGGACTCTCAGTTTCTCCATCTGTAAAATGGAAATAATGGTACTACATTAGCCAAGGCAAAACGAGAAGGTAGACGTACAGGGCTTAGCACAGTGCTTAGTCTGTTGTCAGTAAACTGAGCTCCGACTTTCCTATTGTTCCCTCCCCTGACACTCAGCCTCCTCCGGCGTGAAATGGCGCCAACACCCACACCGTGCAGAGTCATTGTGAGGGCTGGTTGATCTAAAGAGGTCATGTTGAGGACAGTGGCTCCTCTTGGTGGCAACTGTCCTTGTGCCGTCACTTCCTTGAGCCCAGCTCAATTGTCCAGAACCCCTCCTACTTCCTGCCCACCGTCCTTCACTCTCAGAGACCTGAGCTGTTCTGGGAGAGGGGTTGGCACAAGAACAGAGGGGGTGGAGAGGGCAGCCGTGACCTGATAGCTGGGACCAACGAAGGGCAGGTGTCGTGTGGTGCGGCTGGGAGGTCCGCGGGACAGCATCTTCTTGGCGGTGGCTCACGACGGGGATGGGAGATACCTGACTCACTACGGAAGAGCCTGCCCCATGCTCTGGACGCCCACCCAGCCCAGCCCACCAGTCCAGCCCCAGGGCCTCAGCTGCGCTGGGTACCTCGGCTGGGGGGTGAAGCCAAGGGCAAGAAGGGCAGCGGGTCCTTGGTGGTGAGCAGCAAACACAGGGAGCTGAAGAGGACCACGAAGACAGCTGCAGGCACTGTCCAGGCCGTGTCCCCCGCCAAGAAATCCACGGGGCTGGTGCAGAGACAGGGGCAGGACAGAGGGGCATTGCTCGGGCCCTGCACCCCCACGAACCCATGCCGTGTTCCATTTGTCAGGGAGGTAAAGATGGAAACTTTCCAGAAGGAAACCAAGGCCCCGTTACCCATTCATTCCACAACTATCTGTGGAGTGCCTCCTGTGTCCCAAGTTCTGGGCCCTGGGGCAAAGTGACTCAAGAACTATGCGGCCCCCACCCTCACACAGCAGGAACAGGCCCAAGCGCTGCTCCCTCCGCCCACCCTGGAAGCCCCGGGAAACAGCTGCCTCCACACAAATCAGTCTGACTGGGCTGGCAAATCTTCAGAGAGCTCGGAGAGTCACAACATCCTTACGCTACAGCCACGGCCCTGGCTTGGGTGTGGCCCAAGGCAGAGGGCAGACTGCGGGCACAGCTGTCCCAGGCATCGGCCCTCTGGGCAGGCCACTCAGACCCTCTGTGTCTGTCCAGCTTGACCTCATGCCCTGAGGTCATCCGCTTCCTTCTCCCCCTCCTCCCCCCCACCCCCAGGCAGGGCAAACTCTTACCTGGGCCCACCAGTGACAGAAACCCAGGCTAGTTCTCCACAAAACCATCATGGCAGGACTCACCTTGGTGTATGGCCTGGGCCTGGGAGGCAAGGCTGTCTACACTGGGGCTCCAACTGCCACCTCCCCCAACCCTTTGATCTCTCCCATATGAGCCTGCCCAGTTCCATCTCAGGGTCATCCCTGTCCCAGGCTCTGGGGTTATAGGACTGAAGGAGACGGGGGAGGAAAGTTCTAGCCATGGGGACTGGAGATCAGTCCCTCATAATCTGCCATTAAGCATCAGGGTCCAAGTGATGCCCTCAAGGGAAATGAGGGTCAAGATGGCACAGGATGGCCATCGCCTGTCCAGACCATGGGCCACCTGAGGAAATGCGTCCTGGAGCCAGGCCCTGTTGGGCTGGTGTCTCCTGGGTCTGGGACAGGAGCAGGTGGGCCTGAGTGCGGCCCTCCCCTTCCCTCTGGGGCTCCCGCCTAAACCTGGGGATCCAGGTAGGGGCAGCGAGAGCCCCGGGCTGAGAGAAGTGGGGATGTTACTGAGGCCACAGCTGGCTTCTAGGTACCTAACAAACCCCCACCGTCCCAGAGTGGCCCCATCAGCCGGGCCACCTGAGTGGGGGCGCCCCAGCCTCGGCACCAAGCTGGGCAGTCCAAGCCTGCCGGGCCCGTGGTGGGGTCGGAGCCGGCGGCACCTCACGAGCACAGCCAGCAACAGCAGCGCAAGGATCTGAAAGGAGAGCACAGAGCAGGCCTTGGGTGCCCAGTCCTTCCCCGAGGGGCCGAGTCTGAGGGCTCGGCCTCAGCACCCAGGACAGCCCTACCTCCCCGGGCACGATCACGCGGCAGACTGCCGACTGGCCAAGAGAAGGGTGACAAAAGTCAGAGAGGTTGGACTTGGCCCGCATCCTGGTTTGGGTCCCCACCCTGGGCGAACTCCCAGAATTGGGGCTCCTGGGGTCCCCCCTCGCCAGCCCCAGCAGGGAGCTCAAGTCCCCCTGCCCAGTCTGGCAAGAGGTGGTCGGCCTCAGGGTAGACTCACCGACAGCAGGGCCAGGCCGGCATGGAGGAGGCCCGTCAGCAGGCTGGGGTGGCAGGTGGGCAGCACTCTGCAGAGCAAGGGAAGGTTGGCTCAGGCCTGGGTGTGTAGCCGGATTTGGGGTTCCAGGCTGTCTACCCTGGAGCTCTGCCCGCCACCTCCCTCCAGACTCCGATCTCTCCTCTGCAAGCTGGCCCAGCTCCACCTTCTAGGGCTCGTTCCAGGGTTTCCATGCCCCTCATGGTGCGCCAAGCCCCATGCCACGCTCTGAGGTTACAGGGCTGAAGGAGACGGGGGGCTCCCAGGAGAAGGCATGGCAGAAACAGAGTGGGCCAGCTCAACCCGGCTCCTCTTCTCTCTCACCCATTCTTCCTAGCCTTCAAGGCCACTTCATTCCCCCCTCTTCCAGGAAGCCTCTGACTGCTCTAGGCCTCACAGACCTCTCTTTCTCAGAATCGTGGCGGAGCCTCTTGCCCGGGTGGAGCAATCGAGTGTTTGGTCCTACGATTTGCCCTGTGGCATTTGATGTGAGTTTAAAAGATGGTTAGCATCTTTTGAGGCAAAGAAGGGCAAAAGGAGCTCCGTGCAGAGGGAGGAACACGAAGAAGTGAAGTGACAGGCAGCTGACGGTATGGCTGGGGCCAGGCAAGGCTTTCCGTTTGCCTGCAGTCTATAAGGTTGCCGGCAGGCCGGGAGCAGGTCACAGAAGGCATGGGAGGCACTAGGGAGCCATTGAGGGTGTTGGAACAGGCCGGTGTTCTGGATCTGGGGAGATTTTGAATAATAACAGCAGTAACTAGTACTTACTAAGGATTGACTACGTGCCAGACGCTGTTTGTTCCTTGTATTAACTCAGGTATTACTGACGAGGTGGATGCTATTATTGTCCCCGTTGTGTAGACAAGGAGACCAAAGCTCAGGGAGGCTAAGTATCTTGCCCAAATCACACAGGCAAGCAGCAGAGTAAGGATTTGAACTAAGGTCATCTGGCTTCCTTCCTCTGACCAGGAGGGAAGAGGTAAGGAGTATGGAAGGAAGTTTTAAGTTGAACCATATGAAAGTGTCATTTCTGTACATCAAAAACGGTTGAAAACTCATTTTCAAGGAGTTCAATGTAAGCAGCGACTGGGGAAGGGAGATGACAGGCTGCACCTCAGACATGTATAGGAGGAAGAATGTAGATGCCTGGAGATGGAAGAGCAGAGGGAAGGGGGTTTCCAGAATGACTGCAGAGTTTTAGGCCTTATTCCAAGAGGAGAGGTGAGGACCAGAATCACATGTAGCCAAGGAAGCGAGGCTCGGTCTCAGACACTCAGAGACAGAGGCCGGACTGCAGAGTGGTGAGGACACTGGCACAAAGAGGGAGCAGGACAACTGTTTCTAGAAGTTAGTCTTTGAGCAGGAGCCTACAGAGGGCCCCACTCAGAGGGAAAAGGCCGACTGTCTGGGGTGCGGGCCCTGATACCCACCCCCATGCCACCTGCCCCCCCCAGCAGAAGGGCCTGCCAGTGACCCTGGTGCTGGCCTCATGCTGGGAGGGCAGACCAGGAGGGAAGCCTCCAATTCCCCAGGCAGCCCCGTGAAGTGGTGGGGAGGTGGCTGTCATCCTGGACGGCTGCCACAGGCATTCGTGTCCCCAGGCTCTGGCTGTTAGTGATAAGTGGACACCATGTGGGCAGATGTCAGGCTGGGTACATGACCAGGTCGGGGGGCTCTGGCGGTAGGAAAGGGCCAGCTGGGCTTCTGTGGATCAGTCCCGTGCCCACAGAAGACCCCACATGACACAGCCCACCCCCATCAGACTCACTCCCTTCCCAATCTTTTCAACCAGGTCTTTCCACCATGAGGGCACCCGGACAAGTGTGACCAGGAGACAGAGTCCGGCCGGCCACTAGCACTGGTGCCCACCAGCCCGGACCAGCCTGCTGGGGGCACACCGAGGTGCGGGGGGGGCCCCCCATCAGGAGCGCTCGGAGCTTCAGTGCACCATCTCCCTGGGGTGTCTGACTCACTCAGGGAGAGGTGGGCCCAAGTTCAGCTCCTTGGGATTCCCCTTGAGCTTCCACTTTTGGGGGTGGCACTGAGGGGACAAGCAAGGCCACTTGGATTGGCCAAGTAAGTAGAGTCAAAAACAAACCTTGTTGTTCCCTGCAGTGGGGGAAGGCAGCTGCAGATTCCAGATGCCTCACACATTAGAGTCAGTGCTCCCCGTTGCCCGGGCCCTGCCACGTACCCAGCTTCATTCTGAGGCCATATCTGAAGAGCCCGGCCCCAGCCAATGCCCGGGCCCCGAGGCTCCCGAAGACACAGCTGCAGATTAAGATCTGACCCCAGGTCAGGATCCATATCCTCATGGGGTCCTGGGCCCCTCCCCATTCTGCTGCTTCTCCCACTCCAGAACTATGCAGCAGGGACAAGGGGAGCCTGTGGGCTGTCCGGAGCAACCAGAGAAGGGCACGGCGAAAAGCCTTGCCAACACAGAGCTGCCGACCAGGTGGCCAGCGCCCTGAGTCCTCCCAGCAGGAGGCCTAGCTGGGGCCTCTGTCCCTGCCGGTGACCCAAGCCTGGCCAGGCCACAGCCCCAGCCCCTGGAGGGGCACACCAACGTTTCTCCTTTTCTAGTTTCGGTTGTTGATGGAGAGCAGATGTGTGCACATCTGGCTCCGCCACCCCCACCCCCCAGCCTCACCTTTCCAGCTCCCCAAACCCTCAGACAGAGCAGGGAGGTGGGGGATGGGGCGAGGGCCGGGAACAATAAGGGGAGAACCGGGCTCTGGGGCCTGCACAGGCCAGGCGTCCTTGGCAGCACATGGGGCCCAGGGAGGCCCAGCCCCTCGGCCGGGGTGCCCAGACTAGACAAAGATATGGTCTGGCAAAGGGAGCCGTGGGCCGAGCCCTCTGGCCACACTGGACTGGGCCGAGGCTGCCTCCCTCCCCTGGGCTCACCTGAGCACTCCTGCAAAAGAGAAAGGGCCTCCTCATCTTCATGGAGACTCAGAGCTGGCCAAAGGCATTGGGCATCTTTCCCCAAGGACCCTCCGCCCAGGCATTCTTCCTCAGGCCTCCCCCTGCCCCGGGCTACCCAGAAAGCCTGACAGCTGGTGACCACCGCACCCCAGGAGGTCACCACGGGGACCAGGAACCCCTTGAAGGCAGGCCCAGTTTCCCTCAACCACTCAGCCAGCACGCTGCATCCCAGCTACCGGCCAGAGCCGCCCCAGACCGGACGGATCTGAATTTGCAAGGAGAAGGCCCAGGAGGTTGTATTTTTAACAAACCACATAGGTGCTTTTGAAGGGACAGTCTGGCCCAGGACCCCCACCTCAAGTATCAACACTGGGGCCAGGGCCATTATTCTCCAGTAACAGGAGTCTGAAGCCCAGAGAGGCTGTGACTTGCTGGGGGTCACACAGCAAGGGGCCGCACGATTCATCTTAGCAGTCCTTGCCCAGGGCCTTCCCCATCCCCCCAACAGTAACCTCTGCCACACCCCACTCTGCTGGCAGACAGACTTACCCCTCTGGCTGGAGCTCCTGGTCCCCCTGGGGCTCATCGATGTACCAGTTGGAGTAGTCATCCGTGGCCCCGGAGGAGGTCTGGTTGCCCACTGCCTGGGACGACATTCTCCGGCCTTTCTCCTCTGCCCCCCCTCCCCTGGACAAGTGGGGAAAAACCACTACAGATGTGAAAAGAGGCTTAGGGAGAAAAAAAAGAAAGAAAGAAAGAAACCCAAACAAAGAAACGTTTCTGTTTAATCCTAAAGGTTACTTTCTTGCTTTTAGCTTTCTGGGAAAAGCCCGACTGGGAGAGAGGGCCTGGGCCGACCCGCTGGCACAGGGAAAAGGGGAAGGGCTTCTCGAGTCCCTTCCCGTCCCTTCCCGCCCCGTCTTGCCCGCCGCTCCTGCAGGGAGTTCTCCCCTTGGGAAGAGGGCGGCCCTCGGGGTCTTTGGGGCTCTTGCCAGAGCACCTGCCTGTTCGTCTGACCACCAGCCTCTGTGCAAAGGCCCATTTTCAAAGAAAGTTTGTCCAATCCAAGCTGCCCACAGAGAACCCCCCCTTCCTTCCCCCCTCTCCAAAGCCACCCAAAACGACCCACAGACACACACTCAAGGAAGGGCAGGGAGGAAGGAGCTGCAGAGATGAAAGGGTGGGCGGGCAGCAGGCGGGCCCAACACAGCTGGACCCTCCCAGCTGGGCTTCAGGTCCCTCCTGCCCTCAGGGTCAGCCCAATCCCCCTCTTTGTTCGGCTCCCCCAAGACAACCCCCCAACCCACCCCACCCCCAGCCTTAGCCTGCCCCTCTCTGCCTCCTTTGGCCCTCAGTGATGGGATCACATCATGGTCCTGACAAAGTGTCCCCCCCTAGGGAAGGAGGCCCCAGCTCCACTGGTGGCCTGAGCCCTGCAGACGTGTGGCCAGGAGGGTCCGGCACCAGGCTGCACACACATACCTGCCCCCTGTGCCTCCCCCAAGCACCCACACCCCTGCCCTCTGCATCTGCAGGGCGCCTCACACACAGTCCAGCATTCGGCAACCCAAGGAGGCAGCTGGGGCTGGACCAGGGGCGGAGGCAGGGAGGGGGAGCCTGTCCACTCCTTCTCCCGGGTTTCCATGAAGGAGGCAACATGCGTCTCACTGGTAAAAACTTCTAGTTTCTCCAACTTGATTTCACAAGGAGGTAACTCACCCTCATGAGGCGGAGATTAGTCCTCTAAACACAAACCAGACCCACGGGTAAGCAAGAAGAACCCCTCCTATCCACGGCTCCTCCCATGCCATGGGGTGAGGGTGAGGAAGGCAGGGCCCAGGCAGGGGCTGGGGATCCCTCTCCATCCCCCCCCCCGAAGCTGTACCCCTAGCTGGCTCCCTTCCCCCTCCCGGCCCCAGCTCTGGAAGGGAGACAAGATGCAGATAAAGACAGTGATCCCTTCTCAGGCGCCTGTCCCTGGGTGGGGGTCAGGCCCCCTGAACATTTGAGGGTCCCTGTCTTTCCAATACCCCAAGGGGCCCTGGGCCACACACACCCCCCAGCTAAGGCACTCATTCCACAAGTGTTTTTTCTAAAGGCATTCATCCATTTATTCTTTTAGCATAAATTCACTGAACAACTACTAAGTTGCAGGCACTATTCTGGGCCCTGGGATGTGAGAGTTTATGCTTTGGTGGGGACACAGACGAGGAGGTAAATAACCACGAGTCTGAGTCTTCCTGTCTACAAAGGGATGATGTATACCACAGAAAGCTGAATTTGGTCCAAAAAAAATGGGGGGGTTCTCGAAAAAAGAAATCTTTTCATGGAGATCTGAGGGCAAGGAAAAGTCAGCTGTGCAGAGGGTGGGGGTCTTGAGGATGGGAGTTGGAGAAAAGGAAGTGGTTATCCTGATAGAGGGAACAGCCCCCTGGGGTGAGGGGGTGCTCAATGGAGACTGAGCTTGAAATCCTAAAAGCTCCCCATGCAAACTTCGTAGCCAGGCCCACGAGGCCTTCCAGGATTAGGGCCTGAGTGCTCTGTCGGCCTTGGCTTCTCCCCGCTCCTTCCCAAATGACCCTCTTCCAGGAAGAGGGCTCAGAACACCCCTCCCCAGCCCCCCACCCCCACAGAGTTGTCAGTGGCAGCTGACTCAGAACTGAACCTGAGCTCTCTGTGATGCAATGCAGGAGCCCACACTGCCCATCTGTTCCCAGGAACTTGGGGTGAATCCAGCCTCCTAAGCCTGGCTGTGATGTCCGGGGGGCAGAACTCTGCCTCTTCTCTTCTTCCTCCCTTATTCCACTGGTGCACACACAGTATGGGGCTCTCGGGTGACGAGGACTTTATGAACTGGGTTTGGCCAAGCCATTGCTCGTTCTAGTGACCACCACTCCTCCACAGGCTTGCCCTGTGCAGGCTACTGTGTGTGTCTCCAGCCAGGCATTTCAGAGCCCTCTGCTCCAACACCAGAGCCCTGCATCCACTTCTCTGCTCAGGAGTTTTGGACCTCCAGCCTAGAGAGCAATTAACTTCTATCTGATCTTAAATCCCCCTGGTGATATCTCCAACAATTAAGAGTCCAGTCTGTGATGGAGAGCTCACTCCCTCTACACAAGGCAGCGATGTCCATCACTTGGCAACTCTGCCTGTCAGAAACTGCTTCCTTCCCTGGAGGAAGCCTCCCCAGTCTGGTTTGTTCATTCATTCATTTACGCAACAAGTGTTGATTGCATCCCGATTATGCACCAGGCAAGGTTCTACATGCTGAGAATGTAGCAATGAGCAAGAGAGGTGCTGGGGGCAGTGGGGAGGCAAACGTGTCATGGCGCTGGGAGGGAAAATAACGTGGGGCGAGAGAAGAGACAGAAAGACAGGAGGTGGCTGCGTTAGGCTGGATGGTCAGGGAAGGCCTCACAGAGGAGGTGACGTGTGAGCAGAGACCTGGAGGAAGAGAGGGGTACCCAGCTGGGCACTGAGGAAAGACATTCAGGCTGCCTGAAGAAGGCTCCATCAACCTCAGGGGCTGAGCCAGGCTGGCAGGAAGGGGCCCAGCTGAGCCCAGACCCAGTCCCTGACCCAATCCCTTCCCCACAGCACCTCTCCCCCCACCAAACCCCGCTCCACCCCCAAAGGGACTTGCAGTGGATGCCTTCTAGCGGCCGCCCCGGGGACATCCCAGGGCCCATGAGATCACCTCCCTCCTCACTGGGGAGATGCAGAGGCCGCCTTCAGGGAGGCCCCAACCAGAGGTGAAGAAAATGTGAGCTTTGTCCCTCTGCTTGGGTGTGGGCACAGGGGGAGAGAAGGCAGCACCTTGATGGAGGCCACACTGGCAACAGGCAGGAGCAGGCCCAGGGGGAAAGAACATAGTTCCTATATGGCAGTGGGAAGTGCCCCGGTCAGGGACGCAGCCTTACCTGGGTTTGAACGCTGGGGCTGGCTGTGTGACTGTGAGGGATTCCCTCGGCCTCTCTGGGTCTCAACCCCTCCTCTGTCCCAGGAGGGGTGGGGCTTCCAGCCTCGCTTTGACTATGGGCTCTGCTCTCCCTGAGGCCCCTACTCCCTGCCCTCAATGACTTCATGGCCCAAGAATGTGGAGCCAGCACACCAGGCACTGGCTGTAGCGAGAAGGTCAAAGCCACAGAGGCTGTGACGACCCAGGTGTCCCCTATCGTCTTCTACCCACCCTCCTGCCCACCCCCCACCCCCCCCCCGCTGCTCCCCCATCCACGCTGGTGGGGGCAGGGAGGGAGGCAGGCCAGGTGGAAGAACCATGGATACTGGGGGGCTACATAGCTCAGGCTGGGAGGGGGACCCCACTTCTTGAGTCCAAAGTACCTCCTCAGCTCGGAGCCGGAATGGCTTGGTGCTTGCATCTGGAAAATGGGAGGGTTGGTGCCAAGGTGTTAGGAGAGATGCCACCTGGCCAGGCTGCAGGCAGGCCAGGAAATGTACTGAGAAGAGAAAGATGCGAATGATGTGCTCCTGACTAATTTCTCCACCTGGCAGCAGAGTCCACAGCTGACCCACGGGAGTTGGCTTTATAGGGTGACTGACACCCAGAAGAATCGGAGACTGGTACCTGCCATCTGGAGAGTGGAGGGACTTCAGAGACCGACTGCAGAAGTTCCGAGAAGAGAGGTGGGGAGGGGGATTTATAAGGAGACGTCTTGGGCAGTCTTGGAGGCTTCCTGGAGGAGGGGGCCTGGAGCAGGACCCCAAGGTCAGACAGGGTCAGCCATGGTAGTAAGAATGAGGTGCCTTAGGAGAGCTAAGAAGGGGAGTCTGGAAAGCAAGAAGACAGGGCAGGGGTGCGGGTCTGGTGTGGTCTGCGTGAGCCCATGTGGGTACATTCAGAAGAGGCTAGTAGCAATACCTGAGGGGCTCCCAGTGGGGCATAGATTGGGGGCTGCCTAAGCCCTGCTCACTGTAAGAAGGGGTCACAAAAAGCTTCTGGGTCCTGAGAAGACAAAGGCCATCTGCTACCTGGGCCTGGCACTGAGCTGCTCTGCTCTGCCCCTAGGGCTGGAGCTGGCCCATGAAAGCTTTGGGACAGGGCTTCCTTCCTCCCCATGTTTTTGTTCAAGTTGAATAAATCTGAGGAATGTTTGCGTCCAGGAACAGAGGCCCACGTGGCGCCTTCAGCAGCCTGTGGTTATCAAAATCTTCAAAGGGCAAAGTGCTAGGCTTAAAAGGAGCTAACAGTGGGCCAGAGGCCAGCAGCATCCCCCAAATCTCAGAAACACCCCCAAGGGTTCCCCGATCCCCCAGAGCACCTCCAGAATCTCAGCAATATCCCCAGAATTATAGTAATACCACAAAAACTCCTGGAACCTCACTGTCACCCCCATGAGCCCCCAGAACGTCAATATCGTACCAGAACCTCTGAAACAGCTCAGAACCTTGGTCCCATTCCAAGGACCCTCAGACATGGGCAAATCAAGCACAGGTTGGAGCATGATGGTCGGAACCACAGTGAGTAGTCGCAGAAGGTCCAGAGACCCCCATTGCTTGCCATGCTCCCACCCCAGCCCTGGGCTCTCTGAGTCCGACACATCCCCCCAAAAGTTGCACAACACCCAAACTTCAGTGACACCTCAGAGAGTCTCAGCACCATCCCTAATCCCCAGCTTTGCAGCAGAGAATTGCCAAGGGATGTTAGGTCCAG